AAAAACGTCGACTGCTGACATTTTTCTTTTGACCAGTGTGAGTTTGAAAATATCAGTATTTATGGTTCCATAGATCAATATCATTGTTCTTAGGAAAATATTATAATGATCATGAAAATATTTTAGATGGCCTCACTGGTCGAATGCTTTTGATCTGTCTAAAAAATATATGTTGATCGCTTCTCGGCCTTTTGGCTAAGATCAAGTGTAAAAGTATATGTTGTAGCTATTTGGGTCTTTAAGAAATATTATTTTGAGGCCATCTGAAAAATATTTCAGTGAATACATAATAGGAACTAAAATACAAAATACTTTTTGGTACTTTAGGAAAACAATTGTATACTCAAAGCCAGAGTCACTGTATATAAAATCAACCACAGGCTATCATACAATGTAACATAATATATAATTGGTACTAGTTTTAACCTACTTATTAAGCTTAATGGTTTTTGTCTTTGATTGCACCCTGATTTATTTTTTTTTAAATAAAATTCCCAAACACATTGTAACCAAGTCAATTCTAATTGGTATTGACCACAGAGGGGCCAAGTAGAGTCCCTGCATAGTGTTTCCAAAGTCTTTACAAAAGTACCCTGACACATCTTTCATTCACAATGTGGTTAATGCTTATAAGTCCATTACCTTTTGTCAGCAGCTGTGACTTGACCTCTATACCATCAAGTCTCCTTTTCTATTAATTAGGCTAATAATAATTTAGAAGTGCTTAGGGAGTCCTGGTGGCCTGTTCCAGGGTAGATGCAAAGCCAGGTGGTTGAAATCCAACAGCTGCTCCACAGAAGAAATATGAGCAGTCTCCTCCCTCTTGATTGATTTATAGCCTCTGAAAACCCACTGGAGGGGCAGCTATGAGTTGATTCATAATAACAATAGCAAGAGAACAATTAGCTACTTGTCAAGGCCTGTTTTTCACCCTGAGGGTCAAAACTGTAATTACCTTAGACCTTTGAAATTTTAAGAAACTAAATTCCTTGAGCTGTAATTAGTACTTTTGTGACTAAAGGCAAAGACCAGATGAGTTGTGGGAGGTTATCAAGAACATCTTCCATGGAGAATGGAAAAAAAAAAAAGAGGAGAAAGAAAAGACCAAAATGGTTGTCAGAAGATACTCTAAATACTGTAGTAGAATGCTGAGAAGTCAAAGGGAAGAAATAAAAAAGTTAAGCAGCTGAACCGGACATTTCAAAGGGCAGCTCAGGAAGACAAAGCAGAGTGTTATAATGAAATGTGCAAGAGCTGGAGTCAGAAAATCAAAGGAGTCGAACTCACTTGGCATTTTTCAAGCTGAAGAAATGGAAGAACAAATTCAAGCCTTGAGTTGCAATACTTAAGAGTGCTATGGACGGAATGTTGAATGATTCAGAAAGCATCAAAACAAGATGGAAAGATTACACAGAGTCACTGTTCCAAAAATAATTGTCTAACACAGAAGAATTTCATGAAACAACATATTCAAGAGACAATGGTAATGAATGAGGAAGTTCAGACTGTTCTGAAAGAATTAGTTAAAAAACAAGGCTCTGGAAATTGATGGAATACCAATTTACATATTTCACCAAATAGATACAGCCCTCTATCTTGCTGCAGAAAGTCAAGAGTGACATGCTCACCAGATTGTGTCAAGAAATATGGAGGACAACTATCTGGCCAATTGACTGAAAGAGATCCATATTAATTTCCATTAAAAAAAAGTTTATCTAACAGAGTTTGAAAATTATTGAACAATATCACTAATAGCACACTCAAACAAGATCCTGCTAAAGATGATACAAAAAAATGACTGAAACAGTATATCAGCAGAGAACTGCCAGGTGTACAAATCGTGTTTAGAAGATTAGAAGAGGCTGTGGCACTATGGACATTATAGCCAATGTAGATGGATGTTAGCTGAAAACAGATTGTGCCAGAGGAATGTCTGTATATGTTTCCTTGACTATACAATGGTGTTAGACTGTGTGGATCACAAGAAATAGTTACTAACCTTGAGGGGAATGGGAATTACTAAACACTTAATTGTCCTCTCATGTAAAACCTATTCTTGTAACAGGAGGCAGTCATCAGAACAAAGAAAGGAAACATTGCATGTTTCAAAATAAGGAAAGGTGTGCATCAGGGATGTAGCCTATCCCAATACCTTTGCAATCAATATGTGGAACAGATAATTTTGGATACTGGACTTTATGAGGAGGAATGTGGCATCAAGATTGGAGGAAGACTCATCAGAGACCTGCATTTTGGAACAAGATTGGAGGAAGACTCAGTGAAGACCTGCATTTTGCAAATAACACAACCTTGCTTGCCAAAACTGACAAAGACCTGACGTGTTTGCTGCAGAAAATCAAGGACTGTAGTCTTCAATATAGATTAAAGCTCAACATCAAGAAGACAGAAATTCTCATCATTGGGCCAATTGGGCCAATTGGCAGCACCAGGGAAGATGGAGAAGAGATTGAGATTATTGACAATTTCAACTTGCTCAGTTCCACAATCAGCACTCTCAGCACCAACAGTCAGAAAAATCAAAAGACAAATTGCATTAGGAAAATCTGTTGTCAAGAACTGTGCTGAAGAGCAAGATTTCTGGGGACGAAGGTGTGTTTGATTTAAGCCAAAAGAATCGATGCTTTTGCGTTATGGTGCTGGAGAAGAGTATTAAACATACCATGGACTGCCAAGAGAACAAACAGAGAAAGTGAAACCAAGCTGCTTCTTGGAGGCAAGGATTTCGAGGCTCTTTGGGCATGTGGCCAAGAATGACCAGTCCTTGGAGAAGGACATCATGCTTGAAAGGGTGGGGGGACAGTCCAGAAGAGGAGGACCCTGGATGAGATGGATTGACACAGCAACTAGGGTAATGAGGGTAGGTGTGTCAGAGGCAGTAAGACTGATTCAAGATAGAGCAGAGTTCAGAACTGTTGTGCATAGGGTTGCCATAAGTCACAGATGACTCAACAGCACTTAACAACAACAACATCTATAAATGCAGTGGTGGTGTTAGCTGCTGCCAAATTGAGTACAACTAATAACGATCCTATAAACAACAGACCCAAATCCTATCCTAGCCTGTGCCATCCTCATCATCTCTGATAGGTGTGTAATAGGTATGAATGAAAAACTAGTTTGTAGGGAGCTCTGGTGGCCTAGTGGTGAGAAACGATGCTGCAATCTCAAAGGCACAGAGTTCAAATCCACCCGTTCCTTCACAGGAGATGGCTGGCTGTTTACATCCTGTGGGTTTTACTGCCTCTGAAAATCTGCTGAAAGGTTGGCTATGGGTCTGATTCAGCTCAGCATACACAGTACCAACATTAGATTAAAAAAAAGAGTTGAGGGAACAAACCAATGAGACAATTGTCATATGGGAGAATGATTCTTTTCCATGATCTATACAAAACCAATTAAGTATATGCTTACTATCAGGATGTCTGAATTCCCCTTGGTAGTTTATTCTCAACTTTTAACAATCGTATTTATTACTTATTTTACCATTTGTTGGAATAACAAGTTTCCCTTTTGTAGTTTTGTTTTGCTTCTTCACTGAGAGTGGTAGCCATGTCCTACGTCAAAGTGTGGGCCACAGCTGATAATAGCCAGTTAGGGCTGGGTGTTTCCCTGGACCGCAGGGATTGATTGGGTCAGGAGCAAACTCCAAGCTCGAGTTGAAAATTTTTGCTCCATAATTCTGAAATGTGACCTGCCTCCTAAGCCATGAAGACTTACTGAAGAATCAGTCCTTCTGGCTGCCAGGGGCTGCTCTGTCCTTGGAAGCTGAGCTGCCATCTATTTAAATGGGCACAGTCCAAACACTGTGAGTTGTTTGATGATAAATGTATAAAGTGAGAAACAAATAAATATGTCACATTTGTAACTAAATGGATACATTAATATTCACTCGAAACCAGATAATAAAGTGTGACCTTTCTAAATGCTTTAGAGTTAAAGGATGCTACACGTAAATCTTTCCCCCTGTGATTTATATTCATTTTATGTTAATACCCATATTTAAAGGCCATCCAGAATTCTCCACAATCATTTGTTCTCTTTTTAGGGGTCAGAGTTCTAGACCTTTTCTTTGTAAATCAGTGGAAATAGCACCAGTGTACCAATTTCTTTTAATGAAGATAATCTAAAGCGTTCTTCCACTTTCTTCAGCTTTATTTTACTGTCACAGATATTATCATAGCAAAAAAATAATTCAATAAATTGTTTCTTTATGCATTATTAATGTTATTGTTAGTGTTCTTATGAATCATCAAGTTAGCTGACCCTCCAATGGGTTTTCAGAGCATGTAAATTGCATGGGAGGAGATTTTCCTTCTTTAACCCTCAGAGCAGCCAGTGTATTCAAACTAAGTGCCTTTGAGTTGGAAGGACAACTCCTTAACACTAAACCACCATCTCCCTATGTTTCTCATAGACATCTGAAAATATTAGTTGTGGTTGTGTACTGTTAAGTAGGAACTGGCCCATAGCTGATCCTTCAGTGGGTTTTCAGAGACATTGCATGGGAAGAGATTGTCTGTCTTTCTCCCATGGAACAGCTGGTGGATTGAACCATATAGTTTCTTACCCCTAGCTTACCAGAGCTCCCTGAAAAATGTTAGTGGAAGACCAGTTTCGCTCATATCACAGTCCTTATGATTGATAATAAATAAGGACATTGGCTCCTAAGAGCTAACAGCCTGTGGTTCATCTGGCATACAGTGACTCTGATCATTTGTTTGCCTAAAGTACCTAATAATATTTTGTATGTAAGTTCCATTTTAGTTCTGTATTCCCTTACCTAACTACTTTACAACTGTCCTCTGCATTTATTTTTAAACACCCAAAGAGTTTTAATATATTTTAGACATATAAGAAACATGACCAATGAGATAGACCATCTAATACATTTTAATTATCACAAAAATATATTCTTAGGAAAAGTAATATTGATCTAAAGATTAGTTACTGCAAAAAACCAGCAAAGTCCTATTTTCTAACCTATAAAACAGTGGAAAATTCTGAAGATATAAGAATTAAGAGAGAGTTTTAATGTGTGGTTTATAATCTGCTCACATGAGTATCTCCATTACATTTTTGTATACTCAACATGTACTGATTGAGAATCTTCTAGTGTGTGCTTGGCATGAGTGATCATGCTAGAGAGAGTCACATTACACTCTCAGAAACTCTAACATATATCTATCCAAGTTTTACTGTTTGAACCAAAAATTATTCTCTTGGAATGCATTTACAAATGTATGTTAGTGAGGAAATTTTGAGACACCTATGGTGGTAAGTTTTGTGGTTTCTAGGAATAAATTGAGTATGCAAGGTGAGTTTTAGCATGAAAATAATTTAGAGGGGAAAAGGTAAAAAAGAAATTATTATTCTTAAATAACAAAAGAAGGTGATGGTGTTGGTTTGCTTTCCAAGTTTCTGTCAAGCAGAGTGTCCAAAATTCTGGAGTAAATTGACGTAGGAAGCTACCAGTCTGTGATGGGACCCAGAGGAGATCTTGTCCCATGCGAGGAAATACTGATAGATTCTTGTAAGCCTGTGATTCTTTGATTAATGTGCATATCTGTTAAACTCTGCTCTCTTTTTCTCATTCCAGACTGAACTCTATTGATGTAAAGTATCAGATGTGGAAACTAGGAGTTGTTTTCACTGACAATGTAAGGCCACCTCATCACAGAATATCAAATACTCCTAGACTAATAACTATGTCGGAATTCTGCATATGTAAACACAGTTGTTTAAGAAGCCTACTCAGATACCAATTCATGCAATGAAGATCTTATTTGATAAAGATCCATGGAAAGATAGAATTCCTCAACTTATCTCTTAGTAGCTGGACATTTAAAATGGAAATATTTTTAATGAAGGAAAACTAATGGTGATGCAAAGTCATGTATATGTTTCATTTTTATTTAGACAACAACAAACCTCAAAGCTTAATAGATGTTCAAAAGAAGGTTCTAAATTGATGGAAAATTAAACACAAAACATTGCGATACATTTTTTTTTGTTCTTCTTTCTTTATTTTTTTTTTTAATTTAGGTTGTTTGTTTTTCATTTCAATGAACATCTACAGAGATTTTGGGATTCCATTCATTCATTGTTCTCCCCGCACAAACCCCTCCCCCCTCACCCCCCTTTTGCTCCTCTCCTTGAAAAGCAAAAGAAAAACTCCCTCATTGGTACACAATCCCCTCAAAATATTAGTCTCTCTCTCTTTTTTTTTTAATAGAGCCTTCTTTAATTAGAGAGTCTTTGGAAACAAAACATTAAGACCCAAGTGTATGTCCAAATATAATACAAAGACCATCACTTATCTCTAAAAGCCACCAGCTCTCCCTGCAGGAGATCATAGTTACTACCCAGACTCTTCAGTGGCTAGACATTGGGAGGGTTGGGCTTTTAGTTTAAGTACTTGTCACAGTCAGTTGATTTTGTGTTCTCACAGCTGGCCATGAGAAATTGCTGAAGATAGGTAACACACTGTTAATTAGATGAACTATGAACAGTTGCTGTCAGATTCAACCCACGCTCTGCTGCTGCTGCTAACTTTTCTGGGAATTCCCACATCTTGTGTGGAATAGGAATGTATGAACACACTGTGGTGGCCCTAGCCCTCTTTCCAGGGGCTCTGCTTTCCCTCCTGTGGGGGGCGGTGCACCACTCACTCCTGAGATGACACACTCTATAGTTTTATCCCTGATTTAATAGGAAGCATTATTAGTCTCATTCTCCTACTTAAAAGCCTGAGACATTCCTGTAGTTCTCCTTCTTGAGCCCCTCTTCCCTGCCTCCCAGTCTGAGTATGTTTTTATTTATTTCTTTTTTAAACTTTTAGTCTGAATATTTTTAAGAGCTCTCCTGAGAGCTAAAAATCAAGCCTTGTAAGTGAGTGCCTTTTAGAACCGTAAATTGGCAAATAGAATCTGAAAGGTAGTTTTTAATGCAAGGATAGTAGCAGCTTTTCCTTATAAGGAGCAATCAGACTCCAGTTGCCACACAACTCCAGAGCCAATCTTCTGTCAACACCTTTCTAATATTTTTATTTTTCTTATTACTTAAGCTCCAAGTACTGACTTGCACTCCTCTTTTTTTAGCTCTATCTTTCCAAAACGTACATTTGGTATTTGCCAAATCCCAATCCTCTGTCCATCCTTTGTATCTCAACCCTCTTCCCTTCCCAAGTTTGCTGCTAGCCAGTACTCTTACTCTCCTGCTTAGACTTAACAGTTCTGCCACATAGAAAACATGAGATGTGTGAACAATTACTTAATTAACTTGGCTGAGTTCACTTTTTCTCAGTTGCCCATCGGGCTTACACAAGCCTTTGTTTCAATGTTGCCAGGAAAACATGAGAGTTCATGTACAGATACGGACCAATGACAGTACTTAGTAGGTGCTATGGAAAGTTCCCTAAAATACCAACTTTCATTGACAGGTCTTTGCTCTGAAAGCTCTGTATCCTTAACTTGACTTCAGAGTCCCCCTCACCCTACCTCACTGGACCCTTTCTGCCATTTTTCTGAAGTATGGACTTGTCAACACAGGCCAAATCTTCAGCCCCCAGCATGCTCTACTGTCTAGTCCCTATGTCTTCTTAAAATACTATTTTCTGCTCTTGCTCTTTGTGTCTCTATAGGACCCATGAAATTTATGTGACCACCTAAAAGCCCCCTGTGTCCTTTTTGTTATCCATTAAAATAAATATTATAGTCCAAATAAATATTTCCATCCCTTTCCAAAATAAATATCTCCCTATTCCACAGTGGAAGATACTATTTGAAGTAGTAGTAGCCTTCCTAGAGCTTTTCTAAAATTCTATTTTTATTCATTATAGAAAGTTCTGGTGGCCTAGTGGGTAGAGAGTTGCTCTGCTAACCCAAAGTCCCATGATGCTGATCTACCAGCTACTTTTCAGGAGAAAGATGGACAGTCTCCACCAGTGCAAGTTACAGTACAGCCTCTAAAAGCCCACTGGAAGGCCAGCAATGCGTTGCTTCTGACTTGACATCAATGATTTTTGAGTTTATTCATTATATCCCTAAATTATGCATATTTTCTTGCCTAAATAAGTGAATTCCTGATTTTAAATACAACCTAGGGGTGTTCTACAAGTTATCCCAATTGTCTTCATTCTGTTAACTCTTGTAATTAATTTTATGTACTTTCAGTGATACCAAATAGTGGTTGAGTTTTCTCCTATCCTTAACGGAGGATAAAATTGAAATGCTTGATCATGAGATGAATATAAAAACCCTATATAGAGACTGGTAACTGTAAAGTCTCAGTGAACGCTGGTGTAGCTAGTAACAGTGAAGGAAGGAGGAGGGGAGGGAGCTGGTTGTTCGATATACTGCACAGGAGTGATTCTCAGTTGAAAACAGGTTTTCCCCAAGGGGACATGTGTCAATATTGTGAGAGTTTTTTCATAGTCTTACGGTACACTGCACCTGGAATCTAATAATTAGAGGCTGGGATGCTGGTAAATGTCTTATACTACATGGGAAGTATGTACAACAGAGAATTATCTGGACCAGGATGTCGGTTGCTCTAAGCTTGAGAAACCTGCTGTAGAGTAGCTGTTATTGTTAGAGGACACTGAGTTGACTACTCAAAGCGACCCTGTGAAGAGTAGATGTGCCCCTTGCCCCAACCTGGCCATCGTCACCATCTCTGTCATGCTCAAGTCCCTTGCTGTAGTCACTGTTTCAGTCCATGTTATTGAGGATCTCTTTTGCTGACCTTTCCAGGGTCAGTTAATTATGTTTGTGGAAAGATAAGTACAAGCTGTCCTTCTGTTAAAAAGGAGAAAGGTGGCATTTAAACATTTAAAACAAGGTAAAAAAGGAACAAGCTGACAGAGTTATGTACGCACATGACATAGTGAAAGCAGAGTGGTGTTTGACAGCTGTCGTGCATTCTGCTTTCTGACTCTCTCCTCTCTGGCCCTGTTCTGTCCTCCTAGTCATTCCTCTACTTAGCCTGGTATATGACCATGTCTGTTCTTGGACACTACAACAACTTCTTTTTTGCTGCTCATCTTCTTGACATCGCTATGGGATTCAAGACATTAAGAACCATCTTGTCATCTGTCACTCACAATGGAAAACAGGTAAAACCTCATCTTCATTCTTTCCCCTGAAAGAAATAGAGAAAACATAAACAAACAAGCAGACACACAGAATTAACCTTCCAGTGATTGTGCACATGTTAAAGATATTGTATTAAATGGGAAGTTTGCACCTTTTACTTTGACGCCATGGGAATAGGCAGTTTTAGAACTCCCTAGACTTGAGTTCAAATATGAAATCAAACAAGTTGCTGTTGTGGCTTTAGAGAAATTATTTAGGATCTGTGAATCTCCTCATTTTGTAAGATGGAGATTGTTAAAGCACCTGCCTGCTTAAAATTTTTATGAGAATAAGCTATGAAAACCTGTTGTTGTGTACCATTGAGTTGGAACCAACCTATAGCTGGCCCTCCACTGCGTTTTCAAAGGCAGTTAATTGCATGGGAAGAGATTGCCTATCTTTTCCCCACAGAGCAGCTGGTAGTTTCAAACTGTGTTCCTTTGAGATTGCAGTGCAACTTTTTACCACTAGGCCATCAGAACTCCCTAACTTTAAAACATTTAAAGTTGCCAAAAATGAAATAATACATGAAGCTTACTATACTAGATATAATGGAGTTCTGCTGGTCTAGTGACTGCACTGCAAACCTTGTTGTTGTTAGCTGTTAGATGCCATTGGGTCGAGTGTGAATCATAACGACCCTGTGAAGAAAAGATCTGAACACTCCTCTATCCTGTGCCATCCTCACAATTCCTGACACAAGAGCTCATTGTAGTGGTCACTGTGTCGATCCATTTGGCTGAGGGTCTTCCTCAACCTATATATATATGGAATGGCTTTGCACAGTTTCTGGCACAAAGTGTGTATTCAGAAATTAGCTATTATTTTAATCCAGAAATAGTATTACAGAACCATGGTGGTGTGGTTGTCTAAGCACATGGCTGCTTACTGAAAGGTCTGTGGTGCGAACCCACTAACCTCTCTGTGGTGGGGAAGGGCCAGCCATGAGGCAGTCTTCTCCCATAAAGGTTACAACCTTGGAAACCTTCTGAGGCAGTTCTACTTCTGTCCTAGCGGGTCACACAATGCCAAGATTGACTTGACAACAATGAGTGGGAATATGGTATTTGTACCATTTGTTGCTTTGAAGAGCCAAACTGTATGCAGCCTTCTGATCCATTAGCAATAAGAGTCAGGTGCTTCATGCCTAATTTCATGTAATATTTTATAACTGGATACTCATGTACTCTTTCCTCCACTTTAAATTGAACAAAATAAAATCTTAATAATGTTCTGTACTTGATAAAGTAATATTCTTGAGGAAAATTGGTCAAGATTTGGATAATCAACACATGTTAAAATGGAATCCAGTTATGTCAAATTCCTCTTATTATCAAAGATATTCCAGAAGGAAGTATTTCTTAATTCATTCATATTAAATGTCCATTGGTAATCAATTTTGTATTAATATCAGAGTCTTTCATTCCCTCATCTTATAGTCGAGTTCATTTCTTTAATCAATGTCCTTCCAAAGACCTTGAACCATATATAGTGTATGTGTTGTACATGATCCCATCCTATAGTAAAATAGTATACAATGTTCATTTTCCAGTCAGAAAACACTTGAACCATATGGATCTGAACTGTAACTGTGTACTCATGCCACATTACTTCGCTGTGGCTATTACCATGAGCTCAAGTAACATTAATCATTGCTCCTTAATTGTTGGTCATGCACAATTTCACTATGGTTCATAATTGTTGTTGTTATGTTCTGTCGAGTTGTAGATGATTCATAGCAACCCTATGAATGGAAGACCTGAACACTTGGATAACTTTCATCGTTTCTCCAAGTTGATAGAGTTTCTAGAGGCAAGCTATTTCAGAAGTGGATTCCACTCCTGCTTCCAAGTTTAGTTTAATCTTGGAGCTCCACCAAACACTGTCCACCATGAGTAGCCATTATCACATTTGACACATCAGTGTCACAGTCTTCAGCATCATAGAAACCATGAGTTACCTCTGTACAGCAAATGGACAGACTAGTGCTATGCCACTTAGAAGAATGTTTGACCAAAACTAATTAAAACCAGGCCTGAGGGCCATAGATTAAAATCACCCACCTTTGGCTTGGTATGTTGTTGTTGTCAAGTGCCATTGAGTCATAGATGACTCATTAGCGACCCTGAGAATGAAAGACCTGAACACTTCATAATTAATATCCATGAAAACAGTTGTCAATAAATAAAAAACATCTTGCATTGAGAAAATCTGCAGCCAAAGACCTATTCTAAGTCCTTAAAAGCAAAGATGTTACATTAAGGACTGAATACCACTTGTCTTAGTCCATCATATATTCAATTGCCTTTTATACATGCAAAACCCGGACAATGCATAAGGAAGATTAGAGAATGTATGTGTTTGATTTCTACTATTGGCACAAGTTGAATAAAACATAATTACCAGAGGAACAAGCAAATTTGTCTTAGAAGAAATACAGCCAGAAGCAAAGATGGTGAAACTACCTTAGTTTCTTAGAAGGATCCGTTCCTGGTGAAGGGAAACATGCTTGTAAAGTCAAGTGAAAAGAGAAAGCCCTTCAAAAAGACAGATAGACACAGTGGCTGCAAAGGGGATCAGCCATAGCAATGACTATAAGGATAAAGCAGGACCAGGAAACATTTTGCTCTGGTGTACATGGGATTTTTTATCTGCTTGTTATGCATCTTAACAGACCTGATGGTCTTTAACAGAACCAATACCTTATAAATAGCATAGACATTTAGAGGTTTAAAGTCTGGATTTAAACTCTTATTTTCTAAAACTACTTCCTGGTTTCTTTGTGTCATACTTGCTCCTTAATGATCTTAAAACTATTTCATATAGACAAATACACTGAGATTTTATGTAATGAATATATTCTTCCTCATATTATTAGATTTCAGTTGGTTCTATATAAACTAAATGTTCTCATACTTCAAGTCCCAATTCCTAGTTAAAATATTATACAAAGCCTAGTAAAGGGATGTAACTCATAAATCTAACCAAAATTTTAAAAAATAATTCTGCCAATATTATGCTAAGATGTGTGTACTTAATTATAATTGTATGTTTTAAATTTTATTTAACAAGATAAAGCAATAAGACATGCTGCCTAACAAAATATTATACTTAAACTAAGCCACTCAAAATAATTTTTGAAATATTGTATCAAATAGGAACTTTTCGCTTAAATATTTCCTAAATATTTTGTCACTTCTCGTGTTTTACTATTAAGCCAATTTCTAGTTCTCTGAGAAAAAGTAGTAACAAGAATTGGAAAGATATTATTCTCTGGAATTAAACCCCAATGCTATTTCCAACAGAATGGTATCTAATTGATAGAAATTCAACTGCTTATGTAAAAGAAATCTTTTAATCCTCTGATGTATTCACATTAATATTATACAGTATAACTCACACATAGAATAAATTATGAATAATTAATGTTAGTAAATGAACATATCATTGAAATAAATGTAAATAAAAATATTACTCATTTCTGAATAAAATCAATCCCTTTCTACAAAATTAAAACAAATAAACAAAAAAAACCCAACACTAGAGTGGACCACAGTAGCAGCAGGAAGAAGTTTGCAAGTCCATGGAGTTTCACACAGTTTACCCAGTTCAAAAAAGTGTGGTCAGAGGTCCGCTATCCTTTGTGAGTCTCACTGTTTGTAGTAAACTGGACATACTGCCTCTCTTGTGTGTTTTTGCCTACGAGGTCTGGCAAGATTTTCAGTTTCTGAATTTTTGTGTCAACTATTTTTAAGGTGTAGGGTTTTTCTTTTATACATACACATAGAACTGAATAATTCTAATAGGAATATCAGGACGCCATGTTTCCTTTATCACCCCCTCATTCTCATTGCCATCCAGTTAGAACCAACTCATAGCTGGTGGTCCATAGATTTAAAAAAAAATCGGTTTTTACAATGATTTATTTATAATGTGTTTAATTCACGTACATTGTTTTGTTTCATTCTGTTTCATCCCCTCTCTTCACTTACCAAACTCTGTGGCCTTTTGATTTCCCCTCCTCCCGACCATTAGCCTGCCTGTCCCTTCCACTTCCCTCTTTGGGTATCTGCACACATCTTACTGGTTATCTGTCTACTTTTTTACAATAATGGTCTTATGCAGTATTTGTTCTTATACACTCACTCGCTATAATGCTCTCTAGCTTCTCCCATGTTATATAATATTTTTGAAAATTGTTGCTTCTAAGTGCTGCATAGTATTACATTGTATGAATGTACCAAAGTTTCTCAATCCAGTCTTTGCTGATGGACTTCTGTTCCATGAATTTTTAGAGCTGTAATTTACATGGAAGCAGAGTGCATCTTTTTCCCTTGGAGCAGCTATTGGATTTGAACTTGTTGCCTTGGGTTTAGCAACACAACTCCTCATTAACTAAGCCACCTAAATATGATTAAGCCCTCTGTGAAGATAGCACCCTACACACAAATGATTTTAAACTGCTTTTTAAAGGATCTAATTCAGTACATTCAATTTCACTTAAAGGCATAGAACTGTACTTAGAGAAGCAGACTGGGAAGGGAGGGAGGGAGGGAAATGCACTTTTAGCACATTTCACATTTCTATGATATAGCCAGAAGTGTATTTTTACCAACTTGATAAAGTCAAGTTTTAAAATTCACATCATACAAAATATATATACATAAGAAACGGAGATGGGTTGGGATTAAGGATAGATTGTATAGAACTGAGAAGTCTTTCAAATGAAGATAGTTAATTTATGCTTTAAGAAAACTAGCCTTCAAGATAACATTTATTACTAAGCTAGTCATTCAATTTCATTATCTCTTTATGTATTAACAAAGCAAAATTTTGCATTTTCTTTTTAAAATTATTTACACCCTGCATAAGTAATACTTGTGTATTTTTCCACACAAATTCCTATTTTCACTTTTTTTGGATGTGATTCAGAAGAAAAACAAATGTTTGCCACACATTCAAAAGGAAAAATAATGTTCCCACTCATAACATCATCACACAAATATGAGATCATTTTTATTGTTGTTGTTATTGTGTTCCATTGAGTTGGAACTTACCCGTAGTTGACCTTCTGGCATCTTTTCAGAGGCAGTTTAATCACACTGGAGGTGATGGTCCATCTTTCTCCTGCAGAGCAGCTGGTCGATTTGAATTGTGTGCCTTCAGAATTGTAGTGCCTTTTCTTACTACCAGGCCACCAGAGCTCTCTGTTGTTTTTATTAAAATTATGATTTCTTTCAAGAAATGAAACCTTAAAAAATAGATGAAGAAGTTAATTAAATTCTTACTACCAAATGCTTAACTGATTAGAAATTAACATTTCAATCTGTTAATTCATATACTTAATAATCAATTTGACTGTAAAACTAAGTCATAGTTTGTTGTTGTTGTGTGCAACCTAGTATTAACCTATCCAAACCTGACACTCCAGCAGGTTTTAAGAGGCAGTAAATCACACAGGAAGAAATTTCCCATCTTTCTTCTGTGGAACACCTGGTGGATTGGAACCACATGCCTTTGGGATTGCAGTGCAGCTTCTTACCACAAGTAAAACTTTACATGTATTCACATTAACCCACTAAGCAGTCAAGTTTTGTTTAAAATAATCTGATGGCTTGATCATTTAAAAGAATATGAAAGCAAACTTGTCTGTCTGGCAGTAAAGATGAGACAATTAGGGGTAGGTGTTGTCAGTTTCTTGCCCGGAAACATTGTGGTGTGTGAATTCACAGGAATGTCCACTCCCACACGAACATCAACCATGTCAATAAATGCCTCCCTCCTCTAATACATATTCAATATCACATTGCTTTACAGCTTGTCTTAACTGTTGGCTTATTAGCTGTTGTGGTATACCTGTACACAGTGGTGGCATTCAATTTTTTTCGAAAATTCTACAATAAGAGTGAAGATGGAGATACACCAGATATGAAATGTGATGATATGTTAACGGTAAGTTGATGTATTTTTAAATCACTTGTGAGGAAAAAAAATGCTTAAATAATTGAGTATGTATTTGTTATCACAGAATGTAAGATATGTATACATTAAAAGACAGACAGACAAGGATCTCTCCATAGTATTGAAGAACAACGTCAGTTTGGATACTAAGGTGTGCCTGATCCAGGCCATAGACTTCGTATTACTTGTTATGTGTCAGAGAGCTGGACAATGGCTAGGGATGATAGAAAGATAATTGATGCCTTTGAGCTGTGGTGCTGGGGAAAAGTATTGAATATACATGCCATGAACTGCCAGGAGAACAAACAGGTTTGTCCTAGAGAGGGTGAAACAAGGGTGCTCCTTGGAGGCAAGGTTTCTGAGGCTTCATCTGACATATTTTGGGCATGTTCCAAGGAGAGACCAGTCCTTGGAGAGGGACGTCATGCTTGGGAGGGTGGAGGAACAGTGAAGGAGAAGACCCTGGGTGAGATGGATTGACTCACTAACTAGGGTAATGAGGGTAGGTGTGTCAGAAGCAGTAAGATTGGCACAGGATAGAGCAGGGTTCAGAACTCTTGTATAAGGGTCACTATGAGTTGCAAGCACATAGCAATAACAACAACATACATTAAAAAGTTATCGATCTATAAGGATCCAAAGGGGTTGGAGGGGAGGGTGGAAGCAAAGAGATGAGGATGTGCTGGGGAGGGGGAATTAATCATGGAGTTGTATAATTTGATGGGGGGTGAGGGAAATTGGAAGAATCTGTTCTCAAAAACAATGTATTTGAATTTTGTAAATAAACTAGTATAAAATTTTAAAAAGTTACGGATCTTTACAGATATATTGATTTCCTCCCCCCACTTACCCATCTTAGAGGTGCATAAATGACCACTTTGTCACATCTGCTAGGCCTGTGTGCTGATCAACAGAATTTAAGTGTAAACTACTCAGTACTAGACAGACTAGAATTAAGACAGGCTGGAATTGTCATCACTTAAGCCTGTTGTTCATTGATCACAGGACAGCAGGCAAAGGCACCCATGGTTTTTTGTTTGCTTAATATATAAACTGAAGTTTTTGGGGTTCATGAATATATTATGTGTCTCAATAGACCTGCTAAATTTGATTATGTGGCATATTCTGTGCTAAATTTCTTTTTCAGCTTGATTTTTATGTCATGGTGAAGCTTTCCTATTGCTTTATGTAACTATTCTACACCCTGCCTCTCTGAAAATAGCAAATAAAGAATTCATGTGCATCAGATCTGGGTGGGAGAAATTGAATGGCATATTAATGCAAAAGAGATGGATAAGAGCCTACTTAAAATATTTACAGATTTATATTTGGAGCTGTAAGTAAAGGGTTTCATTGTGATGATACTGAAGTTCTTCTAGAAAAAGCCAGCATTCTAAAAGAGTTATGGAAAAAAATTAAAACTTCCAGTTATATAAAGAAGAAATATATATAAATGCAGAACAGTAGGACAAAATAGAATGTCTGGGAATAAATATAAATTTGTGTGGAAATGTAAACTTTGATAAAATTGGCTTTTGAAATCATGAAACATAAAGGGAAAAAATTATTAAATGTTTCAGTTACTCTAAACAAACTATGGAAAACTGGTGAAAACTAATACCAGCTTTCTTATTTGAACAATTCCTATGGAGAAAAGAAACATAATAAATAAAAATTTTTAAATTATTAGAAAACCTTTCTAAGTAAAATATAAAATTCAAGCTTCATGAAAACATAAGTTTCTTTTTAAGAAGTAACAACTTAGAGCATTCTGAGAAGCAAATGACATATTTTTTTGCTAAGGATGGAAGTATGACTCAAATTCGAAAAATCAGCTGCAAACACCCACTAGTACTCACGGCATGTGTATGAATCTAGGGAAATTGGTATTTCCAACAATTAGATATAATGTATAAAGGTTATTGTACTAGTTATGAGTTCTAGTGGCATAGCCTGTAAGGGCTTGAAATGCTAATCTTCTCAAAGCCAGCAGCAGCAGCCTTGAAGGAGAAAGGGAGACCATCACCTCCTGTGCACTTTTCAACCTTCTGACAACCCACCAGAGGGTCAGCTATGAAACACTTCTGCCTTAACACAAGGAGTTTGAGTGTTGATACTAGATATTAGCTGAAATGGAATGAGATTGACTATTATGAATTAGAAGATTATGTATTCAACCACAAAAGTAATGACAAACTGAAAAAGAATGGCATCCAGTGCTTCATCAGAAGAATATTTCATTATCTTTCTTGAAGTATAACTTTGTAAGAGATGCAGTCTTATTCAGACATCCAACAAAGACAGTTAATACTACTGTTATTCAAATTTATACACCAATCACTAAATCCAAAATTAAGAAAGTGAAGATGTTACATCAGCTTCTGTAATCTGAAATGGATCAATCATGCTATCAAGATGAATTAAAAATAATTGGTAATTAAGATACACCATCAGGAAACAAGGAGGAAGGATTGGTTGTTGGAAAACATGGTCTTGGTGATAAAAATGAGGCCACAGATCAAGTGATAGAATTTTGTGTGACCAATGGCTTAATTACAAATACTTTTTTTCAACAACATAAATGGCAGTTCTACATGGACCACATCATAGAGAATAGACAGTACTCAAAGTGTCTCTCTCTGTGGAAAGAAGTTAATGCAGAAAATCAATGTTATCAGTCGAAACAAGGCCAGTACCTAGTGTGAGACAGTTTCTCATCTGCAAGCTGAACTCAAAGCTGAAGACAATTAAAACCAACCATAGAGACAGACCATTGTGTGAATGTACCATAATTTTTCAATTCATTCGTTTGCGGTTGGATGAATAGATCTGATGTCCCGAACCATAATGACCAAATACCAGACAAGGTCTGTGATAACATTAAGGACATGCATAAGAAAAAAAAGATTGTTAAGAAGAAAACACTAAAATGGATATCAGAATAGACTCTGAAACTTGCTCTAGAATGTCAAGAAACTAAAGCAAAGGGAAGAAGTCATGAAGAGAGCTAAACAGAATATTTCAAAGGTCATCCCACAATGAGAGAAATTGTTCAAAGTGAAATACGCATCAACCCAGAGTTTTAAAAAGCAGGAAGAATGCTCAGCATTTCTCAGGCTGAAAGAATATTGGTGGTGGTGGTAGGGGGTGCTAATTGTTGTGTTTTAATAGTAAATGATTCTGTTATTGTTACTGTGTACCATTGAGTCAGAACCTACCCATAGCTGACCCTCTGGTAGGTTTCAGAGGCAGTTAATCACATGGAAAGAGATTTTCCATCCTTCTTTCATGAAGTGACTGATGGCCTCTAAATGTATGCCTTTCGGATTATAGTGCAGCTTCTTACCATCAGGCCACTAGAGCTCCCTAAAGTGTTCTATGAGAAAAAATATTAAATGACCCAGGGAGTATTAAAAAAAAAGGAAGATGAGTCACTGTATCAAAAATAACTGCTTAATGCTCAGCCATTGAGGTAGCAATATGATGACGAAACAGTAGGAGTGAGGGAAGAGCTAAAAGCTGCACAGAAGACACTGGAAAAACAAGGTTCCAGTGACTAATGAACCATATCCACAACTGGGTGCTGCCCTGTGCGTACTCGTCTATATAAAAAAATTTGAAAGAGAGTTAAGTGGCCAGTGGACTGTAAGAGAGCCATATTTGTTGCTATTCAAAAGAAAAGATTATAAAATGCACAGATCATCTAATTAAGCCATTAAGAACACAAGTAAAATTTTGCTGAAGATTAGTCAAAAACAACTAGAATAATACATCAATAGGAGGCTACCAAAAACATAAGCTTAGTTCAGAAGAGAAATAAAGGATATTACTGTTGACATCAGATGGATTTTGGCTGAAAGCAGAGAATACCAGATACATGTTTACCTGTGTTTTATTGATTATGTAAAACCGTTTGACTGTGTAGATCATAACAAATTATGGTTAACATTGAGATGAATTGGAGTTTCAAAATATTCATTATCTCCATACGAAACCTGAACACAGACCTAAAAACAGTCAAAATTAGGAAAGATGTTTCTCAAATTCATATCATTCCATCATATTTATTCTGTCTGTAAACTGAGTAAATGATTATAAAAGCTGAAATAGGATACAAATGTTGCATCAAGAACAGTTTACAACATGTAGTTCACATAAACTTTTTGCTAAAAATGAGCAATACCTGAAGTACTTACTGATGAAACGCTCTCTTTAGTGTGCATCAACATAAAGAAAACAAGTGTCCTTATAACTCTACCAATAAACAACATCATTATTATAACCAGAAAAGATTGACCCAATTTAGAATTTAATTTTTACATCCACAATCAATGCCCATGCAGACAGCTCAAGAAATCAATTAGATGTTTTGAATTGGGCACATATGCTGCAGAAGACTTCTTTAAATTTTTTTTCTATAATTATATTTTATTAATTTTCATAAACATTTACAGAGATTTTGGGTTTCCATTCATTCATTGTTGCACTATTCTCTCTACCCTCCTCC